TTCATATACACATCAATGTTACTAACCAACAAAAGGTGCCTGTCCAAAGAGAATAAGAGAAATATTATCAGACATTTTATAAGCTGTCCGTAGAAGCAAGCGTGAAAATAAACAAGACCCTTACATGTATTAATGTACGTATGGTAGTCTATGCGTCTGCGATATAATCTTTCATGTCCGAAGAATGTTATATTTTTATCTATTTTGTTAATATTGTGAATAATAATACATAATAAATTTGGAAGCCTGAAAAAATATCATTATTTGCATTTATGTATTTTATTTATTGTGTATGTAAATATAAAATTGTATTGTTATGAATGGTTACTTTTTATGATCACTTGATGAAAAACAGTATATATGTACATATATACATATAGATACTTACTGATATATATATATATATATACATATTCTGTCATTTCCAGTATGTTTTATATGTCTATAGGTAACGACTATATTTTCGATCAAGTGTACCTAATAGTTCACTTGTTTGCCATTCTAAAAAATAATATATCAATAATATAATAAATATATATACTATATACTTATGAATTATCTTATTTAAAAAAATCCTTTAACTGGTAAATCACATGTTAGGTGAACAGAAAATCAGACAGTAATAATGATTTCATTATTACAGTCTGATTTTCTATAACAGATTTAGATTTGGCTGTAGAATCTTGAAAGATATAATTTGTATTATTATATACTGTAGTTTATTTATAGAATAGAATTTATAGATTTGTAATAATATACAAGTTAGAATATCTGAAAAAAGAAAATATAATATATAAAATCTTATTTTCTCTGACATTGACAAACTAACCTCTAGATATTCCTTTTTACTTTTATTTTCGCGTAAAATTGGCTTATATGTAAGGAATGATTAGAAATATTATTTCGATAACATGTGGCGTAACAACAAATTGGTAAGTTAATTGATTTTTTCCATTTAAAGTTCAATGAATTTTCGATCTCCAAAAAGAAAGGTCACAATTCAATTCTGTTTTTATTAGTATTGTCTTTATTACATTGAATAGGTGCTTAATACAATAAAAAATGTTTTTATTTTTCACTACTCCATAGACGCTAAGGTGAAGAAAAAAACACTTTTTATACTATTGTTATTGTACTAGTAATCATCCTCATCTCAGCCACTATCTGTGCACAGCTGAATATAGGCCAGCTTGTATTTCTAATAAAACTGTTTTATAAATAAATAAATTATATCATCATAATGACACATAAATTATTTTTTATTTTATTTATTTATCAAATTTTAATACCAAAAAACTTTAACACCAAGAAAGTGTAAATGTAAGACTTAAGACCATATGGCCATTCGACGTACCTGTCGACCGTAGAAAGGGACATATTATTAATATGTAAAGAAATTTCTTCGTATATTAAGTTTTATGTAATCCCTCTCCTTTGTATTGAATTTGATGTTTATTGTAGAACAAGGACCTTAAATTTTGATTCTCAATAATTGAAGATAGAAAAAGTTACCTCATAATTTAGATTTATACTGTCTTTGATAGAATTTTTGAGTCACAACTCAAAGATGTATTTGAAATGAAAATAAACAAGAATAAGCAAATGTATTGCCGAAGGAATACGTTATTTTCTTGAAGTATTTAATTGTATTTTTTTCTGAAATACTACTGCAGGGAATTGACTTCATAGTTTGGTTGTGCGTGATAAAAATGTCTACAGAAATACATGATGGAAAACCGCCACTTATCCATTTACCCGGAATGGAACATTAGATTGTGGCGGGTTTTATGGTGATGAAATTTAGCAGCCAGTATTAATCTGAATAATTCCTTTAAATACTTCCGATGATATATGCGATAACAGACGCAGAAATGCAACATCTCTACGCACACATATTTCACATATACTTCATATTCAAAGTATTTGAATTTAGAATACGCAATCATGTCTAATAAAATCTACTAGATTGTGCTTTCCAAGTAGCAATTATTTGTTTAGCAAAAAATGGCTTTTGTTTGATTGTAATGTTGCGAAATTAAAATAAAACCAACGCGGAACTAAACCGCATTAATTATAAAAACATTCAGAATTGGCAATACGAATACGTAATATAAGTAATTTTCAGCAAGTGCGACTCCTTTCCAACTTCGTTGTACCTTTTAACTGTGCTTTTAACTTCCAGTCTCCAGAAAAGCCAATATCTCCGAAATGTAGAAGGAATCTTCTACAAAATACTTTCTGGAGACATCGACTTTTCTAAAGACTCGAAACCAAAAAAGTACACCGAAATTCGACAGAAATCTCAGTTGTTCAAAATCACTCAGCTACAAATATAAATGTGTTGAGAATATCCCTCTTTTGAACGTCGCGTTGTCGCTCAAAAAGTTTTAGTATATATTAAACTACATAGAGAAAGTGTATGCAAGAATGGATGGCAAAAATTTTTCTTATATGCTAGTTTCATATGAGCTGCCAATCTACATATATTTTACATAGCAACGGTAAAGGAAAATTGTACTAATAATATGAAATATATGAAAATGTACAAAGATTATTGGATATTTGTTACGAAATCACGTTCAGATGTCTGGACGGATATAAATTTAATATTTGGTATACAAATAAATTGTAATATTTTCTATTATTATTTATAAATAAGATATACATATTTAGTACTAATTTATGTAGGGAAATCTCTGGGTTATAGTTAACATTACAACGCGTCTAGATGCCATAAAGTGAACAATGTGGTTTTATTAAAGAAATGCCGAAAATATTCGTACATAACGGAAGAAAACAAACGGTCCGTGAACGCCCGATCATTCAACCATGATTTCCAGAGTTCCGTATTAATTTAATACAGCATTTTTTCTTATCACTTTGTGATTTTGTATTTAATGTCCTTTAACAATAATAATAAATAATAATAAACTCTTTATTGCGCACAGTAGAGATGTACACAAGGAGTATTTATACAGAATGTGCATATACAAAAGGCGGCCTTATCGCTAAAAGCAATCTGTTACAGACAACCTGTTTAATATAATATATATGTTGCAGTCAAAACTCTTAACCAGTCAAAACTACTATTGACTAACAAAATCAGTCAAAAGTACTTCTGACTGACGCTCAGTCAAGAGTACTTTGACGCAAAAGTAGTTTTAACTGTAACAATAAAGCATCAGTCAAAATCACTATTGACTCGTTAGATGAAAAAAAATATATTTATTAAATATGAAATCTTTTATTACGAAAAATTTAGCACTACAATCAATATAAAGAAAACATACTAACTTAACCTAACCTAATTTAAGTAAATTTTAAGTAAAGTTACTTTTTAGTTTTGACTGATACAACCAGTCAAAACCACTTTTGGCCACTAATATTAGATCTCATAGTTGCCTTTTACGATACCCACAGAAAAGGAAGGGATGAAGTATTCTATGCCATTTCCACACGGCAACATATATAGGGCATTATAGGCGGTATAAAGTTTATGTATGAATAATAGGTGATATTTTCTATAACTAAATATTACAACAAAAAAAAAAAACAAACAGGTCTCAATCTTCCTAAAATTACTAATAGACTATCTACTAAATTACAATCATTGCCAATTTGTTTTACTCCCGTTAAAATATTTTGCTACACAAAAGAAAAAGTTACTTTAAATAAAAAAAAAAACAATGTGGATACGATAATAAATTTTAAAGAATTAAAAAGGAATTATCAAAATCCGTTAAAATTATTATAATTAATTCAGATCTGACAAAGATTTCGTGTAAAAAATACTGGTGAATTTTAAAAAAAGAAGAGCTGTCAAATTATTCTTCCTTTTTTTCGAATCGCTCAATTATCACAGATATTGCGTAACTTATACAAAAATTCTTTTAATAATAAAAAAAAAAATATTAAGTACATAAAAATTTATAATTCACACAAATACACTCATAGACTTAATGTAACATACAAATCTAAGAAAACACTTAAAATATCGTTTAAATTATTATTTTAATAGTAAGTTGTACATTAATATTTATTGTATTATTATAATCTGTTTTCAGGATTTGGTAAAACTTATAACAAATTTTATAAACGTTCTTCAGCATTTTCGTAGCGATATTAAGGAAATAAAGTAACATTATAAGAGTAAATATTCTGCTTACATTTTGAACTTGTAAATATGTAGACCCTTATAAGTACGTTACCTTAGTAATGAATTTGCTTAACTTTCAAAGTGATTTATATACGACATTAAGAATAACTACGGAATATGAAGTAAACAGGAGTCTTTTAAATATTATGCTAAACATCGTATGGGCGTTTAAATGGTTGTTGCCTAATGACGTTTAAATAGCTGTACCAATTTAAACTAAATTTGGTACGGAAATAGACTCTTCAGTAACGATATACATGAGGAAAGCTGTGAAATACGACTAGTATCATATCAGTTTAAAAAAATAAACAAACAATTTTCTAATTGTAGATACATGTAATACAATTTTATTTACTTATTTGTTAAACTCTTTATTGCACCAGAAACATAAAAATAAATAATGATATATAAACGCTTCAAGTAAAATTAGATTAAAATATATTTATAAAATATGCTGGGTCTTGTTGTGTATATTATTATTTATTAATTATATTTAATTGTAATTAAAAATGTCGTCTGTTGACTTGATGTAATATATTTTGTTTTATTTCAATTGTTCATCTATTTTCTTTTTTATAAAAAACTACATCTATCAATGTATGTATGTAAAAAGTTTCGTTTTGAATAAAATATATGTATATATAAAGGTGCAAAAGGTGGTTTTATCGCTAAGGCGATCAAAATCATAGTAAACAATTTGCCTGTATTTTAACACCTATAGAATAACTCGGCTTAACAGTTTACAGTTTAAAACTAGGTAGTACCGAGAGAGCAACACTATAAGGTGTAATTGAGTATGGAACAGGGATTAATTGAAGCAGAAATGTATCAGAAGTGCAGAACTGTTAGCGCAAAGCTACGCAGGCGCGTTGCGGTACTCACATCGCAGTAACTACGGAACCCACGCTACGGACACCCGTAGCACTCGTCAACACCTACCGCGTTTCCGAACGCATTTAAAAAAGTAACGTGTTCCAGTTGCGAATTTTATTAATCTGTGGCACTGGCACGAAGCGGGTAAAGTTTGTGATCCATTTAAAAACTTTATGGAATGAGAAAACGAAAGACGAAGTGACTGGCCAGTTTGTATTGTTTTTTTTTTTTACATTCTTTTGTTTTCGCTGTGTTCATTGTTTCTTTTTTTAAAAGTGTAAAATGTGCAAAACAGACAGAGTGAAAACATTTTATGACTAACATATTTGAAGTATAACGATATTTAAACGTTGTTTAATTAGTTTTGTGTCTGTTAAATTATATTTTTAGGAAAAATGGCCATTATGTTTTGCGTTTATTTTTTATGATAATTATTGAGACCATGAGACAACAAGTATAAGAAGGTACGTAAAATTTATTTAAAGTCATTAATAATATTCGAAATACTTTAGTAAAATTTAACATCCATTAATTAAAATGAAATTCAAAATTAAATAATTTTAAAAGATTTTAAAAATATAAATTAAATATTTAAAAAAATAGAATTTTACATGAATTATTTCAGTACATCGGAAATACCACTACAAATTATAATAAAGCAAGATGTGGCATTTACCACAACTTTTTTAAGTATAAAACTATAACATCTGTCTGACAATCGGCTTACTTTTTTAAACCAGGCAGCGGATTTTGATACGGATTTTATTGTTATTTGTATATTTTATTAAACAAAATTTGTATGTATTATTTTCACCTGTGTGAAGCCGGGGCGTCACTGGTATAAAATAATTGCTTCGTTATTGAGTAAAATTACAATCCCAAATATTCTATCATTGAGATTATAAATTTTCAATCGACTTCAGAAAGAAGTTTATCAATTCATTGTATTTTTTATATTTGTTACCTTTGGATTTTATCAATTGTAAATTGATTAGGATCTTTATTATTTGAAAGCATATACTTACAGATTGATCCCATATAAATTTTATCAAAATTGGTTCCATACTTTATACCAAAGAGATATGAGTCAAAACAAACACTAATTTGACAGCCGGATACGTCGTGTCAGTATAGGAAGGTATTTTTTGACATAAGTCAACCCATGTTACATTAGGAAAAATATAATTCCACAAATAAAACACTTCCTCAAAAAAAATCTCGATGTTTTTGTATAACACGTACAAAGAAAACTAGTTAAAATTAGAATCAATACTGTTTTACGAATTAAGTCTAAAAAGTTTAATAGTTATAGCTTTTACGTTAATTACGTTAAATCGCTAAAATTGAACATATAACAACAGATTATCGGGTTTAACTAATGCGTTTAAACAACGATCTGGCAATATCTTAATTTAACATCTAAACTATCAGTTTGAAATTAAATCTTAATTAGTTTAATTTACTATACATATTACGTTCACTTATATTTCATTCATTTACATTAAATTTGCTGATGATGATGATTATAATTTTAGAATTAATTTGCTATACCAAGAAATATACTCTGATTTATTCAATTATTAGTCAGTAATAATATACTTCGGCTTCATTTGTATGAATAATTATATGTATATAATATATATAATGTAATTAATAATAAAATCCTATGTCTTAAGTTAGGATATAACCTATCAATATACATACCAACTTTCAGTCAGATCCGTTTCTTAGTATTTGCGTGAAGGAGTAATAAACGGCCATCTATTCTCATCAACCTTTGTATTTTAATAGTAGTAGAATACAGATATATGTTTTTTTTAATGTATGATAATGATATGGGAACCTCGCCTGCGCTAACGATATACACTGGCGGGGCCAATGAGGAATGATAGGTAAAGATGAAAAGGTCGGCCAGTTAGCCAATTGTGATGAACACATTCGGAACTGAGCACGACGGTATCCAAGGGAAGGTTGACCTGATAGGGTGTATTGCTAACAATGGGGTTACTAATTCTCTTTACTAACAATCCTTTCTCTCCCTATTACAGATGGTAAAAGGATTTATAATCTTTCTACCAAAAAATGCCTTTACAAAGACCTGACATTTTGGCAAATTAGATAGTATATAATACATAAATTAGATATTCTGTCTTCATATGAAATTTGTTATCAATCATGAAAATAAAGTGCTAAAAAAAGAAATATAAATATAAACAATGAAATTAAAAAAAATCTGATTTCATTGTGATGTACCTGACACTCAACATACATTTTATGGAACACATTTGATTCACCGTAGCAAATGGCGAGCCTACCGGCGTCTTTCGGATTTATTTAATTTACCAATGATGTTATCTGTCAACAAAATGTTAATCAGATCTTTGAAAATAACACATAAAATTGAAAATGTTATAAAACTATAAGTCGCAGTAGTATGCCATTAAACCATGATGCTCTTATATGAAAATATTTTTTAACTAGAAATATTTTATCACTTTATCTAAAGTGTTTAACAAAAGTCTGTCTAAGTAATTAATTATTGCTTACATACATTCATATCCGTCACGTCTGTCTTCCATTGTCTTAGGTAGAAACAATGGAACGTCAAATACTCCGATTTAAACAGACCTCTTTCACTTCCTTCACATTCATCCGTCTATTCTTACACGCTCGCCGGTTAGGGGTACCTTTAATTTGGCCCTTCTTCAACACGTCACGTCATCATAAATATTGATTAGTCACTGTAATAATATTTGTTTGTACATAAATTCAAAATCTATAAATGATTGTAATTAAAGTTATTGGTTTAAACATACTTACTTATTTTACTTTTAGTATATAGAGATGGAATTTCTTTTGTTTAGATACCAATATAAAAAAAAAGAAGTTAGATACGCTTTTGTAGTAAAAATTCTAAATGTTATTGAATGTGTGTCAATCGCACTTTTAACTTTTTGGTGGTAAGACGGTTAAAGTTTAATATCTATGCTGTGATCATAATCATTGCCTTGGCGCAGTATTCCTTCTATTACTAACTCTTAATAGTCATGATGACTATTAAGAGTTAGTAATAGAAGGTAATAGAAGTAATACAATCATAGTTCATTCCCATACCTTAGAGCCTGGATGATTGCTTACAACGCGTTTTTAGAAATACTTCCTCCATCGAGCGCTCAGAATATGAATTGAACTCCCTGTCGAATTTTTCCCAAGAGCTACTACTACAGCATGGGGTTCTTCAAAAATGGGATAAAGAGATTTTTTCAGGGCCAGCAATGTGCACGTCATATTATTGGTATTACGAGCGTCCATAGGCTGTGGTAACCGCCTACCATCGGGTGCACCGTATGCTTATTTGCCACCTTAGTGGTATAAAAAATATACAAGGGATTTTTTCCATTGGGATACTTATTAATGGGGGCTAACGGCCCCATTGCAAGCAATATATCCCGTCAGGTCGACCTCCACATGGTTTTCTCTGGAAACCAATGTGATTTAATATTAATGAAATCGTCATATATTCATATCTCTTTTAAGCATGTTATTGTTATCTTTCACATGGTCCATCCACTTTATGTTTGTTACCCTCTTTGTCCACTTCTATCTACGTTTATTTGATACCTTCTTCAAAACATGTTCATATTTAATCATTTCTTCAATTTTTAAGCTGTGATGCTAGCAGAAAATCTCTATTCAGCGTTAGCTTCAATATATCGCTACAGCGCTGAGTTCCAGCTGATCCACCGTTCGAAGGAGATAACGTTAGATATTTCGAACCACGTACCTCGGGGAGTTCGTTCCGCTCTATGAATATTAGTACTACATTTCGAATTATTATTGCTTTTCCTTTATATGACCTGTGTTCCTTTGAAGCTTGCTCTATTTAATGAATGAATAATATCGTCGTGTATTGAAACTACTTATCTCTTTAGGTATACATATTAACATCTTATACTAATTAGTCATGCATACTTTGTATGAGATAAATTTACAATTCGCCTACATTTTATATTTTTGTGTATGTTAGAGAAACAATATATTCTTTAAATTTATAATTATATATATAATTATCATTCTCGTCAGTAACCTCGCTTGCGCTATCAGTATATACTTGTATATACTGGTGGGGCCTATTATCTCATTAGGATTTCTTTACCATTAGACATATTTCACAGCGCCACCTACTAACAGACTAAACAGAGTTTCCACTATAAAAACGATACATTTATTTTCTTTTTTATAAATACGACATGATTTTTTTTAATTGACATTTTCACACATTCATCACACACTCACGTACTCTTAATTAGCTAATACATCAAATGGGATCTATCATGAAATAGATGCTACATAATACCCCTTGATCGCTTAACTTTGTCGAAATATATAGTAAACTACTTTGTGGTAATCTAAGACAGTAGTGTCCAACTTGTAGCTGCAATAGAACGCGGGCCTGCAAGATATTAAATGCGACCCTCTTTTTTTTGTAACTATATAACTAAAATTATAAATGGAAACTGAGTTTGTTTGTATATTATCAATCCTCATAAAAAGAAGCAGACATGTAATTTTCAGATCCTGGGCACATATATATATATATATATACACTTACGTTTATCAGAAATAATACGGTACAGCGTTGACCTCTATAAGCTATCTAAGCTATTTGCCCTTTTTTGTTTGTTTTCGTTATAACCTAAAGGACCTATCTTGGTATCAACAGCGTACTATAGCCGGCAGTCTTATTAAATGGCCAGTCATTTATCTCTATTTTGACATTAAGATAATACAAGTATTGGATTAATATATTTATATATTATATATATTAATCCAATACTTGTATTATCTTAACAACATTAGTTTTTGACAAATCACTATTCACTGCATAAAATTGGTTACTATAACTGCTGTAAGAAATGAATCTATGCCAGCTTCATCATATTTTTTGGTTCGTTTTTGAATCGAACTTTTCTCCTCGATAGTCAGAAATCATCAATAGTAAATTCCTGGTAAATTTATCGCGACCAACTAACAATTGCCAAATGACCTGACTGCATCCTTACCTATCACCTCTCATGGCTGCGTTACCAGCGAATGCCTATAGCATGTATAGTAGCAATGGAATCATAAACACAAGCAGATTCACAGCTCCATTGTTATCTATAAAATATATATATATTTTATATATAAATATATTATATATTACTTATTGGACTTATTATTTGCAGTTTATTGCAACTTATACTGTATAACTTATCATTGAGTCGAATTTTACCGAGAAAAAGAAACTTAACACTTATACGACCCACTTGAAAATATTTGAGTAGCACTGAGTATAGAATGGATGGTCGGACCTACTTAGGGTTAGCGGAAGCCAAGGATTAGACAACAGCTATTAAAAAAGTAATTACGAAAGGAAAATGGTAGATTCTTATATTTACCTATTAAATCGCCCATTTAAAAG